TGACAATTTAAAGGGGTCTCTGTGATCCCATCTCACACACACACACGCACACTCGCACGCAGTGAGGGTTATAAAGATTTTCCTTCAATCGCTTTCCTTCTGGCACAGAGACAAACCCTCACCCCTCGAGCTCTCGCTACAATCCGCTACTTCAAACGCCGTGTGACAAACTGCGGTTCAACTCAAAGGGGCAGATATAAGAACCTCAGCCATTTTTTCTCCACACGGCCCACCGATTCTACTGTTCACCCACTCGGTTACCCTGCACCGTAATTGGCAAATCGATTAGTGCTGTTCTTAACCTCACTCATGAAAGGAGTCTTTGAGGCACGGCAGAGGAGAGGAGGCTAAGGGCTTGACATCCAGCGGGCTCAGGTGCTGTAATAACAGCCAAGGTCATCGTTCTCTGGTCAAAACTACTCCGAGTCACCAACGCTGTTATGTACAGAGAGTGATACTTCCAGTGTGCTTCACGATGCTCTATTCACAATACAGCTGTGAAAAGCTCTTGCATTAATTGCCTACACAATAACGCTTTCATATTATTCATGATATACTATGTGCGTCTGTAATTACAGTTTAATCCATGGAAATTGTTACAGCGTGATGTATTACATGAAAAAACTCCAAAAAAAAAAAAGAGAGATACAAATCGGCAATAAGCAAACTGCTCTGCTATGAAATGGTTCTTCCCACCCACTTACATGAGGGGCCGCAACATCATTTACAACTCATTTTATTAGCGCCATTCAGAATCACTTCATATTAATTACTCAGGAGTCAGGTTAAGACATTATCCCAATTACACATCTTAATGATTTCACTACGGTATCTTTTTTTCTGTGAGAAACACTTGACAATTCTAATTGAAAATGACAAATATATGACCTCTATATCCAGGTTCTTGATATATTTGAACCCCTAATGTGGGCTTAAAACATCTCACAACATATTTTAGCATAGAGTTCATAGCTAAGGAGTTTAAAAGGGTCTTATTTTGAACAAAAGAAAAATGTCTTCATTTTAATTCGTCATGAAATCCCCCTTATTTTTTTAAATGTATGTTAATGATCTTGTTGTGAATTCATCCATCCATAGGTTTCTTTTTTTTTTTTATTGACCTCATAATATGTTTTAACTCCATCTTCAGGGTGAAATGACCGACTTCTCTTTGGTGAAGTATGCCAAACATTGCCAAACATTTAGTCTGCTTAAACCCCGCCCCTTTCATACAATCAAATGCAAGCCAAATTCCGCCAAATCTGCCTCCATCCAATTTTTTTACAGATTGAGAGAACCAAGTCCCCAACTTATATTTTTTTTCGCTAATTCGTTTCACTTGGATGTTCATCATCATAATATGGAAGAGCTGACTCATCGCTACCTCTGTTACATTGTGACTTTAATGAAAAGTTTGCTCTTCCTCTAAAACTACTTGTTTTGTTGTTTTAGATCACATTTGGTTATTTGATTTAGTGAGCAATGCTCACACTTCATAACTCAATCAGCTCTAGCTGAAAAAAATACAAGTACCACCCTGCATAACATCCTGTTTGAATGTTATATTACGGAAGCAAAAACTGGCAAACAACAATTAACAATGACTTTAAAGGTCTTAAACCACACACTAGCTAGCTCTAAATATGTAAAATGTATAGTATACAGCTGGTCATGTGATCTCAAAATGGCTGCCTCCACACTCCTTGTAAAATAAAACTTTTTGGAGGCAACTTCATGTTATGCGAGTGTACAAAAGTTTAAATATTCCAAAATAATTTTTCATGTCTTTGTGTAAAACTTTTTAATTGAGGTAAAAATAACTGAGTGTACCTTTAAAAAGCCTTTTTTTTTTTTGCATGCCTTCGAAATTTGTTCGAAAGATCTTCCCATCTATTTATCCAAAACAACAATGGTGATCTGTAGTTCTTCATCGCACTTAACACATCAGCACAGTTGTATTTACAACACCAGAATTAACAAACCAGCAAAAAAATTAGCAAAAGCACTGAGGGTCAATGTAGACTTCCAATGGCATTCCATCAAATGAGCCTATTCAAAACTATTGTCAACTCAAATTACTCAAGAGCTCCATAAGTGCCACAGGAGGCCTCTTTTACATCTCATGTGAATAACATTATGGGACAATGTGGAGGATTTTGACCAATATCTTTCAAATCTAGGGGTCACTACCAACACCGCACTGGCAGACCTGCAGCCATGACCCCTGTGCAAAAGCTGATCTGAATGAAAGACAGGCTTCAGTAAGAACAGTGGCCTTCTGTGTAACGACAGACGGAAGCAGAGCGGAACTGCGCACACGGCTGCGTGACCCTCCACTCCAAACCGAGGCGGTCGCAGTGACGAATGCACTAGCACATGACGCACAAACACGCGCACACTCTGCCTGTCACTTCTTTTGGCTGAGGATTGTGCAAATACAGAAGGTCAATATTGATAGGTCACACACGGAGCTGCTTTGTAAATATCACCAGGCTTAGGACATGCATGTTCATCATGTCACTGTGAACATGTACTTGTAAATCCTTTTAAAAAATGTATAAATTATAATATGTAGGAATTTAAAATGTTGAGTGTATTACAGTACAGAAGCAGTATGCACACAGCATTCATTACAACCAGCTTTTCCTGTGGTCAGCGTTGGCACAGACAGACTCCTGGCCTTCTCCTCCCGAGCAGTGACATTTCCCTGTTCCTGATTCAACCATCCTCTCTATCCCAGGAGAGAGTAATGGATGGGGCCTGTTTATGAAGCCGCTGCCACCTTCATGATCAATCAAGCCACGCAGAGATGACACAAAAAGCTCAGTCTGTGCAGACAGCACACAACCTTTCACATGAACAATTACACAAGCAGGAATAAGAATGGTACAAAGAGTGTTTAAAAGTGGGCCATTTAAAGTTCTGAGAAAATGAACTTCTGCTTTAACTCTTAAAAACATGATTTATCCAAATGAATAAGCAATAAATAACAAAAAATGACTGTTGTAATGTTTACTGAAAACCACTGGGACTATTACCAAGTCTTAATGTAAAGAATATAATAAATGTAAATACAAAAACAAAAAAACATATGCTAGGTTTGACTTTACTAATAAGACTTTCTCTTGTTTTATTTTATATATATTTTTTATAATTCAAAAATATATAATTTATAATATTTTCAAATATTTTTTTTGTTTGTTCATTTTATTAACAGTATTTCTAAATTATGGTAATAGACCATGTAATACAAACACTAAGTAACCCAATAATTTGAGAGTTGCAACTGAATTTTGAAGGCATAATTAGTTTCATTTTAAAAAGTGATGCCTACATCAAGAGACAGAAAAGTTGCTCATTTTGTAACATGGTTGCAGATTTGATGAGATCAGATGAGATGTGCTAGTGCCATCTACTGTTAAAACCAAAGAACTACAAAACATTAAAGACAAAAATTTATTTTAAAGCAACAAATGATTTTGCAATAAATATGTACAAACTCCTTGCCTTATAGTGTGCAAGCTTGCCAGCATGGCCTCACAGACTACGTTATAGAAGTGAAAGACAAATCCATAGATTCAGTCCACTTCATAGATTAAACGGCTGATTGGTGGCCACAAGACAAAGTGAGTTTCCTCAGTGTGCCGATTCAAAGATGTCATCTTTTCCTCTTGGCCTCAAATCTATAGACGGCTGGAGCACTTCTGGTCTCCTCACAGACTTTCACTTTCTTAACCTTATCCTGTCAAGAGATAAAAGCACAACCCAGATGTCACACAAGGACAGGCTTCAGTAAGAACAGTGGCCTTCTGTGTAACGACAGACGGAAGCAGAGCGGAACTGCGCACACGGCTGCGTGACCCTCCACTCCAAACCGAGGCGGTCGCAGTGACGAATGCACTAGCACATGACGCACAAACACGCGCACACTCTGCCTGTCACTTCTTTTGGCTGAGGATTGTGCAAATACAGAAGGTCAATATTGATAGGTCACACGGAGCTGCTTTGTAAATATCACCAGGCTTAGGACATGCATGTTCATCATGTCACTGTGAACATGTACTTGTAAATCCTTTTAAAAAATGTATAAATTATAATATGTAGGAATTTAAAATGTTGAGTGTATTACAGTACAGAAGCAGTATGCACACAGCATTCATTACAACCAGCTTTTCCTGTGGTCAGCGTTGGCACAGACAGACTCCTGGCCTGCTCCTCCCAAACACAGTGACATTTCCCTGTTCCCAATTCACCCCTCCTCTCTTTCCCAGGAGAGAGTAATGGATGGGGCCTGTTTATGAAGCCGCTGCCACCTTCATGATCAATCAAGCCACGCAGAGATGACACAAAAAGCTCAGTCTGTGCAGACAGCACACAACCTTTCACATGAACAATTACACAAGCAGGAATAAGAATGGTACAAAGAGTGTTTAAAAGTGGGCCATTTAAAGTTCTGAGAAAATGAACTTCTGCTTTAACTCTTAAAAACATGATTTATCCAAATGAATAAGCAATAAATAACAAAAAATGACTGTTGTAATGTTTACTGAAAACCACTGGGACTATTACCAAGTCTTAATGTAAAGAATATAATAAATGTAAATACAAAAACAAAAAAACATATGCTAGGTTTGACTTTACTAATAAGACTTTCTCTTGTTTTATTTTATATATATTTTTTATAATTCAAAAATATATAATTTATAATATTTTCAAATATTTTTTTTGTTTGTTCATTTTATTAACAGTATTTCTAAATTATGGTAATAGACCATGTAATACAAACACTAAGTAACCCAATAATTTGAGAGTTGCAACTGAATTTTGAAGGCATAATTAGTTTCATTTTAAAAAGTGATGCCTACATCAAGAGACAGAAAAGTTGCTCATTTTGTAACATGGTTGCAGATTTGATGAGATCAGATGAGATGTGCTAGTGCCATCTACTGTTAAAACCAAAGAACTACAAAACATTAAAGACAAAAATTTATTTTAAAGCAACAAATGATTTTGCAATAAATATGTACAAACTCCTTGCCTTATAGTGTGCAAGCTTGCCAGCATGGCCTCACAGACTACGTTATAGAAGTGAAAGACAAATCCATAGATTCAGTCCACTTCATAGATTAAACGGCTGATTGGTGGCCACAAGACAAAGTGAGTTTCCTCAGTGTGCCGATTCAAAGATGTCATCTTTTCCTCTTGGCCTCAAATCTATAGACGGCTGGAGCACTTCTGGTCTCCTCACAGACTTTCACTTTCTTAACCTTATCCTGTCAAGAGATAAAAGCACAACCCAGATGTCACACAAGGATGAAAACAAATGCATTCTGAAAGCACAACCAATACTTCATCGTAAAACAAGATAACAAGTTTCTTAAACATTAGATCAATAGTAAATCCATGCATTAGCAAACTGAAATGATTCTAATCAGTACTACAAGTGCCCATGTTGAAGGGGTTTAAGTGAAATGTAGATGAATGCACTTACTTGTAGATCTTTTCTAGTCTGGATCTTTTGACTAATGACAAACATGTTATTTTCTCTGTCAATACGCTGTGAAAGCCTCAGATATTGAAGTTCTCTCTGCTTTGCAAGTTTCTGAGAAAGGGGGAATAAACATGTTAGAAAAAGCAAACATAAGAAAGAGGACAATAAACGCAATGAAGTTAGTTAAAAACTGATTTTTCACCATTATTTACAACAGGATCAGCATTTTCATGGGTTAAAATTTATTACATATATACACAAGTAATTACAATAACTACTATTTATACAATTATTACTATTTACTACAATTCAAAAAATTCATACTCTTTATTATTATTATTAGCAATAGGTTAATGAATGAAGAAATGATTAACAAGTGCACTGTACACACTAAAACACTTAGGTTATGTACATAGCATGCTATACAGTGACTACATTACTTTTATACTCTGAGGCTCCACTGCTCCCACAATGCTTTTCTTTTCCAGGGTCTCTATTGTAGGTCTGTTATATGCTCGTCCCACCAGTTCAGGGACTGTGTTGAGGTGGGTGGCCAGGTCAAAGTCCTCCACTAGCATGAAAAAATAACAAATTTGAAAATATAAAAATGAAAAAATATATAAAATAAATAATGTCTAGTTCAACAAGCAGTCTGCAGCAATACTGCTGGTGGTCCACCAAGTATAATTTGACATTATGACAATGTACATTAACAAACATACAATCATACAGTATTAACTTCACCTAAAGCTAAAGTTAAGAAGCTAGAGGCATATGCTTTGTATCAACCACATTAAAATATATATACAATATACATTACGTTAATAATGATTATTTTACTGGCATAGCAATGTAGGCAGCATAAAGTGTATAAATACATGTATATGATACTAGCTTATTATAAGGCAGGTTTAAAATGCAAAATTGAATTTCTTACACTATGCAATAGGTGCAACTATACAATATTACCTTCTTTTTTTGAGTCCACATAAAAAACATGTTTATTTTTCTTTTCCTCATCAACATTAAGAAGGTGGAGCTCTGATTTCATCCTTTCGATTTTCTGAAAAACAGAAACATTTAAGCCATTATTCTCAACTTTAAAGAGATAAAGTCACAAATACACAGATAAATAGGAAGAACCAGCCCTACCTTCATCTCCGACACTCGCTTCATTTCCACATATCTGATGTCCTGGGTCCTCATCACTTTCTTCTGCTCCTCTGTCATCGTTTCCTCTTTTGGTTTGATCAGGTGAACTCCATCCTGAACAGTAGCAGAATGAGCAGAGGTTACAAAACCTCATAGCCATAAAAAACTACTGTAGGTGTGCTCTCAATGCAGTTTATGATAGTTGAATGCAGCAGTAGTACTAAGAGGTGACAAACCTTTAATTGGTTGTGTATCATTTTAAAGTGAAATTCATCAGGGTTCTTATCCATGGCCTTCTTGCGCAAGGCCATGAGGGTCTTCTGTTTCCGGTGGTAGTCACTGCATTACATATAACAGGTTGGACACAGCGGTTTGTAAACTGTACTGAAATCATAAAGTGCACTATTTCAACTATATTCAAATTACAAACAAATATGAAGTACAAAGTCCTACGTAATATGATCCTTGTTTTTTATTTTATTTACATTACATCTAAAGTTATTATATCTAAGCTCGCTGTTTTCACATTGTACCAAGTACATAATATTTACTACTATCTTAACTAAAATACCTCACATTTACTACTTACTTTATATTCTTGTTTTGAAGGGGGGAAAAATAAACATTAACATTTTTTTCCCTTTGAGATTTAATCATTTAATTAATAACAATTTATTTGAAAGAATGGCAAATTGCTGCTTGTGTAACATCACAAAACATTTCAAAGAGAAGGCAATAACATCTCTAATGAGAGAGCGTCTAAATGCATTAACCAAAAAACATAAAATATCCAACAACAATAATAATAACAATAATAAAAAGATAAATTTTGTGATTTCTTACTCTGCACGAAGTTTGTAGTCCTTCTTCTTCTCTAACAGTCCCAAACGTTTCCTGAAACCGAGCTGAGATGGGAGAAAAGTCAGGTTAATAAACAAAATAAGATATGGAAAGTTAAACCTTCTTCTCATTCACTGCTGGGAAATGATACATAAACTAACGCGGCCGTCGGATTTCAGAAAACCCGGCTTAGCCCCATTCTTTTGCCACTACAACTACTTCCGTACATGAATTTATCTGTCAGAATAAATGCAATTGAAACACTGTTGAAACATTGTTTCAGCAAATTGCTGAAAACGCTATTTAGCAAGGCAGCACGCGAGTTAGTAGGCCTAACTTATGTTTAAACTGAGCCTACCTGTGATCGCTCTTTGTGGTCTCGTTGTTTAGATTTCAAGGCTTTTCGAAAAGAAGACATGGCTGTAAATATCTGAAAACAAATCCAATTGCGATTGATTGAGGGAGAAAAAACCTAAACAGGAATTTGTATGTACGCCTCACAACCTCACATGTATGGTTCTTAACCCACGTGGATACGATGGAGCACACAGCACAGTAGCAACGTGTTATTTCTCAGCAGCAGATTCGCGCCGAAAATGTTATCTTTCCATCCTGATCAAACGTATTATTAGTATTATAACTATTTAGACATTTCTTTAATACAAAATAACAACTATGAAATAAAAATTAATAGAATACATAGAATATGAACAATATATAAAAGTAATAAATAGCCTACAAATGTTCATAAATTGTATATTTTTCTTACTATAAGTATAATTCTACAGTAGCCTATTCCTCAGTATTATTTAACCGTGTAAAAGTGGCTCCTGAACAAAAACAGATATTTACGTGTGTCTTAATTTTAAAAGTAGTGTAAAACAAACGTTGAAGAAGTGTCGACAGCAGATGGCAGTGTCCTCCACTGCAATCACGCATTCATAAACTCTCATATCCTACCTTTAAAATTTTAAAGTTCCATTCTGTCAAAATTGTTTTTGACTCCAGTAAATGTTATGTTTTCAAATCCAATCATTCACTCTTGTTTCAGAAACGGCACTCTCTGAAAGTCACAAAGCTCCAGTAACAAGCTGTATCCTTGACACTGAGCGTACACCACAACATTAGCTTTATATGGCCATCTAATCAGTGATATCCATCACAGGAGTTGTCTACTGTTTTGTATGAGGAAGATAGCCAGGCTCACGACAGGGAAGAACTCAATAACAAACCTTGGGTGCTGAGACACTTAGTTTATATATCCTGGCCAGTGTGTTGACACTTTAAATAACTTTGGTCATGATAATGACAACCTCTATCTGCCAAAGAGATTGGTTAACACTAACAAATAATACTTGGTGTTTCTCAAGCAGGGTCTTTAAAAAGTGTCCTACTCCATTCCAGACACCTAATTTGTATCTTAACCAGAAGGATAGCTTTCAGCCATTAGAATGACAAATGTCAGAGCTAAAGTCTGATGACGACACCTGTGTGCCTCTTATAGCTCTGAGGGTCCAGTTTATCCATTAGTTGGCTCGTCTTCTGAGAATGAAAGAGGGGCAGAAATGGCCATTTGGTGTGTCAAAACATGCAGGGCATGGGACATAAGCAAGGGCAGATTTGAAATAACAACCAGCTTTTCCTCTGGCAAAAAAAAAAACAAAAAACACTGCTTTACTCAGAAATACAGAACATCATGTTCCAGTGCTGCGAGTCTTTTCCCACAGTTTTTTTTTTTATATAACACACAAAGCACTGTACAGGTACAGAGGAACTAACGAAATGAAACACTCAAGTTTCAGTATGAGGAACCTCAAATGGAATAAAAAGAAAGTCTTTTCATTTGTAATTTAACTGAAGAAGAACAAACTCATTCTATGTATTTCCTCATATGACATGTTTATCATCTTTTTCCTGTTTAATGTTTGAAAAAAATGAAAAATTTCACAAAAGATTCACAAAACATGCAGATTCTTTACTGAGAAGGAAACCCTTTCATGGGGTCACTTTTTCCATATGATGTCATAGCCTTCATTGACCCAAGGTTTGTGGGCTTTCAACTTCTTTATGCTAGACATATAAAACCAAGTGACCCGATGGACTTTTGCTACAGAAAATAAACCACAGTAAAGCATGTAAAACAAAAACAGGAGATTTAAAGCATTTCCCTGGCTGAATTTTAATCGGATTATATATGTTTCTCAACAAAAAAGATCTTTAGGGAACAAGTATTCAAACCTGTGTTTAAGAGAGGGCAAAAAAAGGGGTTATGTTTATGATAGCTTGGAGTTTCTGAAATGCCCTCGCTTGACAGATATATTACTGTTTGGTTTTTAATATAGGCCTTTAAAAATCACACAAATGACATAATGTTACTGGCCAGTAGCTGAGCTCAAGACCTTGAAATGCCTTTTTCAACCAATGTAGGGTTTCTATACACAAAGAGTGAGATTAATCCGAATCGAGAGGAGCTCCCGTATGGATTACACTGTATTGTAGTTCATAAATCAGGTTTCATCTAATTTTTGAGTGGTCATATTCAAGTAATAGATGTAGTTTGCTTGATTCCATTCATACAAATTGTAAATGGTGGATAGTCTGGATTGTGGGAAATCTTATTCACGTTTTACTCCTGTGTCAGCGGGAAAGGTTTTTGAGGAGTATTTTTTAAATCAGAGGAAACCATTTAATAGATTTAAAACTTATAATTTCAGGTTTTACCAAGGATGTTAACAACGCCGTCTGAACCCTATCCTTCCAGGAAAAGGCCTCTCTTGAATGTTTGGTTCTCACTCTCAAAATTCGACCACAAAACCCTGTAAAGAGTGGATATGGGACAATTAACAGTCACCCCACTATTTACATTACCCAGTTTGTGCTGGCAGTACAAAATGTCAGTAAAAAAGGGTTTTAAGGTCCTAAAGACATTAGAAACATCTAAAGATATGACAGACAAGGACACGGTTGTCTGTTTTTTTTTTCAGGGATAAGTGGAATGATTATCGTAAGCAGTGGAGGTATTTCACAGTTTACACTTGATTAAATTTGGTGTAATTTGATAAACCTTTCTTTTAAACTGTTAAAGAGTGGTAATAAAAGCCCAATGGCATTACAGTCCTGACGCTGAGAATCAGACATGGTACATCATAACATGTTAAAGAGAAAAACAAGAGGTGTTGTTCTTGCTAGGGGTGTAATTTAATGAATTTGAATTATGTATGAACTCGTTGGTAAGGTCATGCACGACCTGTTCTGAGACAATCATTGAATCCATTTATTGTTAGCAAATCATACAAGCAAGTAAACTCAAGATACAGTTACTAATTTAGTTTCAGTTATATAATCTCTAATGATATAGCTGGACACAAACGGCATCATTTCATTTACAACAATTGCTCAGTGTTTTCTGCGGCTGCCTGAATTAGTACAAGGACAAAGTCACTCTCTTTAATCTTGTAAGAGGTTCTTTATATTGTATCTTTGTATCTTAAGTATTACATTACAAACATAACCACATAGCGAAAACTAATATCAATGCAACACTTACCTCTTTGTTATACAATAACACATGTAAGTGCCTGAAGTGTTTCCATAGCAAACTTTAGTGAATATCATGTAGCAATAAGTTGTTCATCGATTACTGAGGAGTGAGACAAAACGGTTTTAAATCACGAATGACAGTTTTTTTCGCCATCATTTCCACCACACTGTCATTTCCATCCCATCTCTTTTGCTCACAACGAATTTTAATATTAAACACATTAATGTGTTAAATAGCATTCTGCTAACAAGCAGTATTTTAAATATTTTGGAATAAAAGGTAATTTTTTGCTGCAAGTATTAAATATTAAATCATATTTTAAATCTTTTTCACATTCTTTTATATTTTCACGTTCATCACATCATACCATAGCACCTTATTGGAATTTTGAAAAAGGTTTTCATATTAAAAAAAAAAAATCTATACATAAAAGTATTTTGAAAAGTAGCAAAAAATAATGACATATTCAAGACAATTAAAAACTTTCCATTGATAAAAGTTTCCAAAACAGTTTAAATTTGACCATATACTTAAAAACTATATAAAATAAAATAAAATAAAATAAACCCCTGTGAATACAAAAACCTCACAGAATCTCATAAGGAAGCTACAGGACATGTGCTCCACTGAACGAGACATTTCCACCTTTAGAGAGAGAGAGAAAAAAACATATTTTCTCTATTCTAATGGTTAGACTGGTTTAGATTAAAATAATAATAATTAAATAATTTCAGCTCTGTTGAATTCTAAAATATGCTCCGTCCATCCCCCATGAGCAGTGCGGTTACGGGGTGGGAAAAAAAGTTGTTCATTGTCATGACGAATATTTCTCCTCAGATGTGGGTGTCAAGTAACAGGTATGTATTGTGCTACTTTCATTTACTACAGACAGACATCTCTTGCGCTCTAAGCTACCTGCAAACGGCACGTCAGACAAATAACAATGCAAACTGTCTCAATTTAAAGATCATTCGTTGAAACTTCCTTCAGAAAACAAGGAAGACCGTTCATCCATTGGGGCGGGAGCTTGTGTGACTCACTCAACTTCCTCTATAGTAACGCATGGAAGAGTTAAGCTCGAGCATTCTCTCATTCGGTGCATTGAGAGAGAGCTGAACACTTCTGCACACCCCTGAGGAGCAACAGGACTACAGAGCTATTAAACAGGCCAGCTAAACTGACCCCAGCACACTCGACACGGACAGAGACTGAGTTTTGACCGGGTAAGCGCTTAACTTCTTTTCCCCCCGTCATTTAAATTTAAACTCACATAACAGAGAGCTAATGATTTTCAAACGTTTTTCATTCATAACCAGAGAGTAAAAATCGATGACTTGTTCGCCTGTGAAAGTTTTCATTCATCCAGGTTATGGTAGCATGTCTTGTAGAAGTATTAGAAAGTTCACTGTTTTACCTCTGTAGCCTACTTGTAAAATCACATTTTTGACCAACTCTTAACACTTACATAGCTTCCATGGATAAGTTTAAAAAAGTGAAAAATAATAAAGCAAAAATATATGCATGTTTTTAACTACACTATTTAAAATTATCAGTTGAATTTTAGGTGCATGGAAGAAAATCCTAGCATCACCTGTTAAAAGTTCTCATTTTGGACTTCAGTGTAAAATATAATTAATTCTAGGCCATTCATTCCTAAGTGAGAAAAAGACTAATTTATTATCATCATCTTCAACTCATGTCATCTTCAACTCTCCCTCAAGTCAGAGTTTCATGACATGGTGAACTTTTTGTACTTCACACACTTGCAATTCTCAGAGGAATCTGACACACGTGTCACGACATGACAGTTATTTGTGTACGTTTTCTGACAGTCAGACCTTCAAGTCTTCATTGGCATTAAATGCACACATGCAGATAACCATTAGAAAAACAGAACGAAGGCATACATGCCGTGGGGGTCTGACATATTCCTGAGTTTAGTCAAAGCTGATCCAGGTCGGAACTTGATTGCTCATCTTTGAACACACCTCATCCCAGAACATGTTGCATTCCAAGGCGTAGTGAATACTTTGAGTAACTCCTCGTAAGG